CAGGACTATTGTTGTGCTGCGTTAGGCAATAATAAATTTACTTACTTTTTTTTATGCAAATTGTATCAATGGCGGGTGTTACCGGTAGGGCAAGACAATCATCACTAATTTTTAGTGATCCATTCATATATTTTCCACAGCTATTTGCCCTTAACGCCAATGGAATCTGTTTCGGCAGAATATCTAGGGTGGTTATTCTCTTGCATCGAAAATTTATCGTAACAGACCAACAAAGTCGCACTCGTGCCTTCTATGGTCACCGGATCATATATCATACAAATAGTCTATGTACTCTGTTCAAATTTAAGTCATTACAATTTTTAAACATCACTCTATGATCACACACGATGGAAAGAAACGAGTACAAATATATTAATCATATTGAAATCAATTATGTCATTAATAGTTTACTATGGTAGAAGATGTCACGTGATAAATGCAGAATCAATTTATAATCAATGTCTTGTCTTGTTGCAGGAATCTATAATGCGCCAAAAGCCGAACGTGTCCTGTCCTAACGCATAAATGAACAATGTGCCAAGAGCTTAACGTGTCCTGTCCTAACGCATGAATGAACAATGTGCCAAAAGCTAAACATGTCCTGTCTTAACGCATGAATGAACAATGTGCCAAAAGCTGAACGTGTCCTGTCCGTACGCATGAATGAATGAACAATGTGCCAAAAGCTGCACGTCTACTGTCCTAACGCAGGAATACACAATGTGCCAAAAGCTGAACGTGTCCTGTCCTAACGCAGGAATACACAATGTGCCAAAAGCCGAACGTGTCCTGTCCTAACGCAGGCATACACAATGTGCCAAAAGCTGAACGTGCTCTGCTGTTATAATGCCATACTGCTACCAAACTCCCGTATCAATTGCATGCATAATGTGAGAGAGAAACGAAGACATGTAATACTAAGGCATTAATGCTTCTTTTACACACACCTTTGCAGAGAACAAACGTTACATACGCCTAATATTTCAACACAATGATTTCTGTATTCTTCTAATTATATTCCTTATCTGCCCATTCAATCACAATACACTCTCAAGCCAATACTCCCTCTGCCAGGAAGCCCATAGAGACTTAAGTGCTTGTAACCCGTACATGTCGACAGGTGTCTTTGCGGGAAATGCCTCAATTAAATCAGTTGTCAGCAGTACAGCATGTGTGTGTGGAAGCACCAGCAGAGGTAGTGACGTCATCTGTGACGTAATGTTTCCGTGTCTGGGATACATTTCTATTTCAAGATGGTTTGAATCTATTCCGGGAATACATAAAGCAACGCCGCGGACCTTTAAGCCCAGAATACCTCTCCTCGTAGTTAGAAATAGCCACTACATATTGATTAGGTGTACTATGCCAGCTGTATGCAAATTTGGGCAGGTAATGGCATACGTAAAATCCATGATAAACATTTACGGTAGAAAGTTATTAATCAAACAAACATTTAATCAATAATTATATAAAATAATAAGGATCTAGTGCGCTTTATCATTAAAAGCGAGTGATGGATGGAGTGAGACTAGTTTTACGCCGTTTTTTAATATTACAATTATATGGTTTCCTGCCTTGAGAGGATTGCATGTCGGGTCTACGAATCTGCGAACGGTCTAAAATCCACCTTAGCTAGAGCTTTATGATTAAAGAGCTCTGTAGAGAGTGGAGTGTTACGCCGATTTAAACAATATTCCAGGCTTTCAGATCTGGCGGACAACATGCATGAGTTTCAATAATAACAGAACAGTAACACGAGGACCTAATGCATTAGATTCAGCATATGCCTACCATTCTGTCCAACTCTCAAAGCACACAATGCTTCTTATATGCTAAAAAAGGAACCTTTTGTTTTTAGGTTAAAACTAAAGGAAACGACACCAATGTCTGGCAATGAAAAAAAGTGATTTATGTGGCAAGAACAATTCCGCAGAATTCAAGTTCCGATACACAACATTGTGACAGGCATGAAGCACGTGACCACGGACAGAACGTGCAAAGGGTATGCCGGATTCACAATTGTCAATTGTTAGCAGACGCCTATTGGATTTTTTAGGAACCAAACGCTCAAAGATACTTTGTTGATACTTATAATCATTATGGGAAACAGCATCGATCATCCGAGGTTTGCAACGTGCTGAAATGTTGCAACAGGGCACACATCAGAATATTGTTGCATCTTTCTCAATCTGTCATCAGCAGATTGTGGGCCCGATACCAACAAACACATAACGTCGTTGATCGTCACCCAAGGGCAATAACTCCAGCCCAGGACAGATTAGTCAGAACGATGGCATAAAGGAATCGGTTGCAAACTGCCACTCAGAAAAGGGACCGGTTGCAACATGCAACATATCCAGACGGTGGGAAATCGTCTGCATAGATGGCATTTGCGTGCACGAGGCCCACAACATACTGCACGTCATTTGAATCAGAGACGTCAGTGGTGTTGGGAACGTCAGCACTGGGACAATCGGCGTTGGGGTAAAGTCATAAGTTCACTCTTGACTCTCGAGGTTCCCATGATTCGAGTTTAAAGACGTCCTAATGAGCGTTTTATACCGTACATCATGATCGTTTTGGGGTGAGTCCATAATGGTATGGGTGAGTCCATAATGGTATGGGTCGGTCCATAGTGGTATGGGTGGTATCACAGTGACTGGCCCAACTGCGCGTCATTTTGTCTATGGCAGAGTCACAGTTCAATACGATGTCTGGCCAACACAGGTGGTTTACCCGATATTAGTGACCTTGCCTGCAAAATACAAATTTCGAAATTGACCTCCGACGACCTAGTGCGCCACGATCTCATCACACCAAACATTGGAACCCATGATAGCTGATCGCCTTTAATTTGCGGATATGATCATATCATTTCAATTTGCCAATACCATGTAGATCAGAAGATATGTCTTGATGATTCCCACTATCCCATACTTAGCTTAGAACATTGTATTCTGGCGATGGTGCTTTTAGTTCAAGAGTTATACTCTCCCAATATCAGCACATGGCTTCTGAGAAGAGTCATATTTGTTCTTCAAATATATAGTCAAGATAAAATGGAATGTAAAAGGGCTCATGATAATGCCTCTTTATAGTGTGACGAATTCCTTAGCTGCAACTATTGATTTGATATGGAGGAAACTGGAGGACAACTTTGAAGAACATGTGTTCTAGGCGATCAATCAAGCAATATGGTTGATACATTCTAAAGTTGGTGAGAATTATCAGTACAGAAAACTACGTTTATAACGAACACGCTTATAACGAACTGACCGATATAACGAACTGATTTCTTAGTCCAGGCCACTTGCTGTATATATACTGAATATATATGCTTATAACGAACTACGGTTATAACGAACTAAAATTAGTGGTCCCTTTGAGTTCGTTATAACCGTAGTTAACTGTAATAAGACACAAATGGTTGGTCATGAGAGCCCTCTGTTTTCAAAATCTCTCGCATCATCGCCTAACACCATCATGTATCCAGCTTAGAGCATCTCTAAAATTGTACATCTTTTTGACGCATTTTGAGTTTAGGGAAATACCGCCTCATGCATATTGCCAAATAAACAAACCGCGAATTAGCTCAATGGTATTTCCTGCAATGACTGATGCCTGCGACCGAACTTAATCTCATAACCACTTTAAATGACGATCAGAAGTAGGACACCGCTTCCGGACAAATAGTCTGGACATATACTTTTAGCCTGGAATCTCATTCTGCTCGTAATAAGGTAGATTTTGTTCACCTTTTCGTTGCCACTGTCCAAACTACAGCAGTGCTCCAAGCGGACACCTTAGGACATGGTCAATACTGGTCACTGCTGTAAGGTTAGACTCTGGTCCATTACGTTTTAAGGATGCAGTGCTGTAAGTCGAGAGCCAAATAACCAACGATGTGTGTCTTTTGATGTGCGATGCTAGGGTATCGTCCTTATTATCGAATCATGATTAAATTGTCGTTGTAATTGTAATTTTTCATTGTAATTCTTGCATTCTGATTAGCTGAAATGGTCACGTGTTATTGCATTCATTTCCCAATGAATATAAAAAAATAAGCCGCACTCACCGAGGCGGACTACCTTTATTACTACGGAATGTCGGGGAATCCCAATATTACAGTCGAGGGAATTCCATTTCTGCTTACGTGTATCGTCATACACAGGACATTTAGCGAAATGTATGGTTATCCATTGTCCAAACTGAGCTTTGAGACCGAAGTCCGAGAAGGAATGAAACAGCAAACGTGCAGGCTCGCTCGCCTGTATTTTGTCTGCTCGCCTGGGTTCCACAAATCCCATGTCTTCGGGTTTCATTTCTAACCCGCCTTTTTCCATGTCTTCCCATTCTCAGGGAACTCATGTTTGCATCTGGCGGTGAGTGACAATGCCATTTGAAACAGCCGCCTTCTCCCGGACATATTTGTTCGTTATGGGGCGAATCTCGACTTTTGTGCCTCCCGTGTGCGACCATAAAATTTGCCAGGTCGTCGTTGGAGGGAGGCTCAAAGGAGACAGAATGGTTGCCTGGGTCTTTCCATGGTCGCTGTGAAGTTTTGAACATGTTCAAAACAGTTGCACAAAGGTCGCCGAGGAGGTTGGTTGCTCAAAGGAGGCAGAAGGGAGGCACAAGCATTGCCGTTGTTGCAGAATGAAGGCACAGTGGTCGCCCAATGGTCGCCAGGTAATAGATGCGTTCTGATGAAATATTTACCCGTCAATCTTGGCGATGCTTCTGCCTCCCTTTTGCCTCCTTTGGGCGACCAACAGCGTGCATTGAACGATGACTGTGGCGACCGCCGTGCCTCCATTCGGCGACCACGGCAACCCTTGAGACACCATGGCAAGGCTTCTGCCTCTTTTCTGCTTCCTTTGAGATACCTGTTGCGCCTCCTCAGCCTGCCTATAAATAGAGGGCGTGTACCTGCAGTATTTTATTGTGGTTGCAGACGCTGAACAACACGAGCAGTTACTGCTGAACAACTGCTGGAGCAGTTACATAGAAACATGATTTTCTGGGTTTAGGCGACCATTGAGCGTCCTGGCCAGTTTATGATCGCTCAAAGGTGGCACACAGGTCGCAGCCCTGTGTAAAGGGTCCTTCACAGCGTGACTGTTGCAGTTCTTCTCGCTTCTTGCCTTGATTGACATGAACTTTGTTTTGATCCTACTTTCCGTTGATTGGCTACTGACTTTGTGGGCATGTCAACTTTTGTGCTTAAATTAAACAATCACCTTATTCATGTCACGCCACAATATGTATTCCCAAACCTGGAATCTTTATCAACCTCGTCCTTTTTGTCTGCTTTGATTTATGCAACTGTTTTTGGCTAAACTATTGTAGATAACACATGTGATCGTTGTCGAATTTAATTATAAGGATTGACAGTGTATTTTTTCGGTTAATTGAGGCATGAATCGAAAAAACCGATGTGCAAACTGTATGAATCCGCGAAGTGTAGCGGATTCTTACAAAAGTTTGCTGCGAATTGCGGCGTCTTATAGTTTTTATCAGTTTAAACAATATCAGTAAATGCACTATCGTGTCACTGGACTTTCTGGTCCATCGATCACTTGATTGTCTAGTTTCTTTACAGGCCGCCGTAGTATGGCAGGAGTACTGCTTTGCAGGCAATAAATACGTATGCAAATTGTGTAAACGGCAGGTGCTACCGGTATGGCAGGACTTACCCTTTTCGCGAATACGTGGTGTCATCACTGATTTGCGGTGGTCCATTCATACAATCTCCACAGGTATTTGCCATTTACGTCAAATGGAATCTCTTTCGTCGCATAATCAAGACTGGTTAATTTCTTGCATTGACGTTTTGTATTTAGATGAGAGGGTCACCGTACACCCTAGTCTAAATATATTTAGGCATAAATTGAGATATAAAACTTGGACTAAACTGTATGATATCATTGTGTGGTCTCCAATCGGTTATGGATCTCCCGTGCAGGGCTCCACATAATGATACCAGATGTGAATGACGCTTATATGCACGTGTAAGGTGGTTGGTCTGTTTGTTGTTCAACGCCGCTCTCCGCTATACTCTCGCTAAAATGACGGCAGCCTGAAAGTGCCTGCGTCTGGACCAGGCAAACCAGTGAATGATATTATGAACAACGACCAATGTCGTACGGGTATGTTGGCACGCAGTTAAGCAAGTAACAGACCCTGACCACCCAATCCACTGTGTGTCCTCATAGGACAAGCATTGGTTGCCTGGTGGTGTTGGTGGCCTTGGTGAGCTGGTAGGGCTTCGTAAGGGCTTGGGTTGTCTGGGTTGTCTGGGTGAGCTGGGTTGTCTGGGTGGGCTTGGTTGTCTGGGTGGGCTGGGTGAGCTGGAATGTCTGGGTGGGCTTGGTGGGCTTGGTGTTGTCTAGATGGGTTGTCTAGATGGGCTGGGTTGTCTAGGTGGGCTAGTTTGTCTGGGTGGGCTGGGTGAGCTGGAATGTCTGGGTGGGCTTGGTGTTGTCTAGATGGGTTGTCTAGATGGGCTGGGTTGTCTAGGTGGGCTAGTTTGTCTAGGTTGGCTGGGTTGTCTGGGTGGGCTGGGTTGTCTGGGTGGGCTTGGTTGTCTGGGTGGGCTGGGTGAGCTGGGTTGTCTGGGTGGGCTTGGTGGGCAGCTGGGTTGACTGGGTGGGCTGGGTTGTCTAGGTGGGCTGGGTTGTCTGGGTGGGCTGGGTGAGCTGGAATGTCTGGGGGGGCTTGGTGGGCAGCTGGGTTGTCTAGGTGGGCTGGGTTGTCTAGGTGGGCTAGTTTGTCTAGGTGGGCTGGGTTGTCTGGGTGGGCTGGGTTGTCTGGGTGGGCTTGGTTGTCTGGGTGGGCTGGGTGAGCTGAGTTGTCTGGGTTGGCTTGGTGGGCAGCTAGGTTGACTGGGTGGGCTTGGTTGTCTAGGTGGGCTGGGTTGTCTGGGTGGGCTGGGTTGTCTAGGTGGGCTTGGTTGTCTGGGTGGGCTGGGTGAGCTGTGTTGTCACGGTGGGCTTGGTGGGCTGCTGGGTTGACTGGGTGGGCTGGGTTGTCTAGGTGGGCTGGGTGAGCTGGGCTGTCTGGGTGGGCTGGGTTGTCTAGGTGAGCTGGGTGGGCTTGGTGGGCAGCTGGGTTGACTGGGTGGGCTGGGTTGTCTGGGTGGGCTTGGTTGTCTAGGTGAGCTGGGTTGTCTGGGTGGGCTGGGTGAGCTTTGTTGTCTGGGTGGGCTTGGTGGGCTGCTGGGTTGACTGGGTGGGCTGGGTTGTCCAGGTGGGCTGGGTTGTCTAGGTGAGCTGGGTTGTCTGTGGGGGCTTGGCGGGCAGCTGGGTTGACTGGGTGGGCTTGGTTGGCAGCTCGGTTGTCTAGGTGGGCTGGGTTGTCCAGGTGGGCTGGGTTAGCTGTATTTTTTATACATGTCCGAATTAGGTGAATTCTTTTCCGGGATTTAGCCACACAGACTACAGCATAAAGTATTGATGTAGACAAAGGCCATGGCTAGATAATGAAATAAGGGAACTGGAATCGAAGAGGACATTGCAGCTTAAAGAGAGAAAGGGTCAACCTTGAACATGTTTTTCCTTGGGTTATTGTGCTTGACGTAGGGAATACACCAATGGCCGCAATCGTCCAACAATGTCACGATGGTGTATACTACTCAACACTTGATAGGGACATATATATAAACTAATAGGAGACATGCATACTCCGACCAGGTGGCAGCAGAGGAGACGGATGCAACACATTGAAACTTGAAAGCTGAGTTTGGTGATGAAGACACGAACATCCTGCCTTGAAAAGAAAGCTATGAAAATAGGATGGAGGTCTTGGTGTAAAATGTGTCATTGTCAATTAAAACAAAATCGTCAGTGTAGCCGTGGCCAAAGACGAGACTGATTTGCCCTCGGTGCTGAATTGACATGTTCAATTACCACAGTAATAAACAATGAGATATGTTCTGTCATTGGAGAGTGGTGTTAAACTAGCAATTAAGTAATTGATTTCCGGTTTTTAAACAAGGAAGCCGTTGTTTTACAGATGCTTATAAACTATTTTAGTTACATCACGGCGGACCCGTAAAGATCCGATTTAGAAAAGGTCTTCAGCAACCCATGCTTGTCGTAAGAGGCGACTAACGGGATCGGGTGATCAGGCTCGCTGACTTGGTTAATGCATGTCATCGTATCCCCAATGTGTAGATTGATGCTCATGATGTCAATCACTCTGTTCCAGACTCTATTATTTACAGACCGCCGTCATAAAGCTGGAACATTCCTGAGTGCGGCTTTAAACAACAGACAAACATCACGGCGTGTCCGTTGTGTGAGAGAAATGCCCAGCTTGAAGCAGACCGAAGACGTTCACCATTTGGGGAAACACACAAACGCGGACATGATGCTGACAAACCAACGATAATAATCGGTTTGAAACTGTGCTCAGCGGAATCTGCTAGCTGTCATGACTATATATTTTATAACATGAATTACTCCGCCATCCGTCTATAATGGCAATAGTCGAGCTGGGGATGTTGTTTTATTCGAGAATCTGCATTGTGCATTGGGGTCAGTTCATCCCAATCAAAGCCCGGACATGTTTAACACATCTCAAGGCAGTAATGGCTTTCTAATCTACTGCTAATCGCTCCGTTCAGTGGCCTCGTTGCATAGCCGGAGTCACAGCAGTAGGCTTCCTTCCAGCCACGGCCATTGATTTATCATTAACCTCTTGGCATATGCTCGTTGTCTTGCGAGCGCGTTGGTTTGAGGGAGCAACGTGTTCAAGGCCCGCCTGGGACATTCATCTACCTTGACATATGAGAGAAGTGCGTTTGCGCCACTGATGTTATTAACCTTAGGGCTAAAAGCCGCAAAACTAAGTCAAGTAATCGCATTATATGAACCGAATAGGAAGTATATAAGATGTTATTAGTCTGAAAACCTCTTCCGGATCCGGAGTACTCCACCAAATCACATTCATCTTCAAATAATAAAATCACAGCTTTTCCACCACAACGCCTCTTAACCACATCCATTAATTGTGACGAAACGTTATGGATTGAAAAAAAGTTTGTAAGGTGTAATGACTCCAAAGCACATCCATAAGTAATTGTGACGAAACGTTGTGGAGTTGGAAAAAAAAGGTTTGAAAGGTGTAATGGCTATGCAAATAGTGACATTTCAAGAAGACGATCTTAATGTATTTAAATGAATGTCATATGCTCATTAAGGGTAATTGCGTTGATGTTACTCTTGTGCAAGTTATAGCCAGGTCGATGTCGTGGTTATATTGGCAACAGGGACGGAGGCGTCATAACTTCCATTCATTCCCATCGCAGGTCAAGTGGAGTTAGAACCGTAATTGATTTATAGGTCATTAATTTCACGATTTACAGTAATCAGTTTAGCGTCCTCTTGTGTTCACGGCGTCAATATGTACATCCTGAGCATGTTGGTGTGATTAGAACGCGTTTCCAATCCTAATCATCTTATTAGATTAACTTTAATAGGCACATTGGCACATTAATAAGCAAATTAGCGTACGTATTCAATTTACAATGTATTTTTAGCCTTAATAAGGCAACGATTCGTACTTACATTGACGTATTCTTTTACCTTACACGTCACCGAAGGCAATTTGGACGGGCCAAGGAAGGTCATCCAAATATGGATATATCAAGATTTGTTTATTTTAGAATGTTAAGGTATTCCTGACCGCATTAAAACACATCAATAATGATGCAATTATATTGCAATACGTTCAAAACTCGATAAACCATATTCATAGTTTTATCATGATGGCCCGTGTCTACAAACTTTCAGATATAAAATTATTATTTCAAATCTGCTGACATTAGGGTGGACGCATGGAGACATGCTAACTGATGCATCACAACTTACTTGTAAAAATCATGTAAAATTTGAAATTTTAACTTGAACTTTGTTTGTTGTAGTATTGCATAAAGAGTTGATTCTACACAGCGTGTGTATTCATAGCCATATACATTTATTGCTCGTGATTTTATGGCATTTGCGTGGTTGTCCCTTACTCACGGTGTGTAGACATTGATTTTTTTCAGCTTGCCGTGGCTTTGCGTTAGCGTTATTTACGGTTAAACATACGAATTGTTATAAGCACCTGATAGCTAAACAACCATTGTGTGCGGTTGACATTAACAAATGTGAGTATTTCAACATAGACGCAAACATCCTAATTGTGCGCCGTGCATGAACATGCACGTACAAATTGGGAATCACGACCTTAAAGTCGAGACGTCTTCATGAATATATGTAAACGTTTGTTTATAATCATAAAATGTCAGAATAAATTTTTATTGAATCGGTTACAATTCTAGCAAATATTTAACTGCTATAAGATATCAAATTAAACTATGTAAATTTGTTGACATTATGATAATGATTGTAAAAACTCTCGATTAACTTATGTCCGTTAATAACCTGTTTGTACTTCACATGTCAATGTACTGATAGAAAATAAAGTGCTACTGTCTGTTCTGGAGAATGACGCACTACGCTTCTGTCAAAGATTCAGCTGTAAACTGCTCGCATTTTAACATAGATCATCCTTTATTAAAGTGCGATGACGTCACTGACGACATCTTCAAATATGAGTTAAGTGCCGTTATTGATGCACCAGTAATCACATCATATTAATGTTATTCCGTTAGAATCGGGAAAGCAAAGGTTGTCATGACAACATAAAGGTCATTAGTACCAAATAAACTATACTAGACAGTTGGGACAGATGGGTTTTATTAACAAAAATTGGACATTCAGGCCCTTATCTTAATACAACTTAATAATTGGTATTTTTATCAGGACAGCGTATAGGTTTAGGCCGAGCTTGGTGGTACTACATTAATGGTGGAATATCTAAAATAATTGGACAGATTCATTACAGTTAATTTACATATGCTTTTTGATAGCAGCGTAAGTTTGTTTGGCTGATCCCCAAGTATTTATTCATGAATATAGCTCTAAGGCTTTGTACCTAGGACATGCAAGTAAAATTATGTTATTTTTCCTCAACATCGAATACATTTCCGCTTTTACAATAGTTACAAACTCTTAACTCTCTGTTAACAGTTTCGTAAACACCTGTTTCACTACTTATGACTTGATATTTTTCCTTTCTATATAATGCATTAAGTCTAAATAAGATTCATACATAAAAGTGGGCTTGATTTCTTGAAACAACCATATTTTGCTCATTGATGATACATCCCTTCGCCGGTTTTGACAAATATATCTATTAAACGCTTCTTCAAAACAATACAAATGCTTCTAGGGTTACACGGAGCGGATCATTCCACGCATAGCCAAATGCATGCTCAAATAATATTTGATTTACATAATATGCCCAATTTTAACACCGTTTTCACAATAATAAGTATCACATTAAAACTTAAGTAAACAGTTCCATGTATTTAAATCGACCATGCTCACCATATACTGCAGCAGTACATGACTTTTGGTGAGCATTAGACCGCCTCCGTGGTCTAGTGGTAGAGCGTCCGCCCGGAGAGCGGAAGATCCGGAGTTCGATTCCCGGCCGCGTCATACTAAAAGACGTTAAAAGATGGTACTTGTTGTTACCCTGTCTGGCGCTCGGCATTAAGGGGCTTAAACAAGGACTGGTCGGCTCGGAGTCAGTATACTGTGTCTGAGTTGGGTATTCATGTTAAACTGCGGCATGGTATCTCAGTGGGCTAGCACTATAAATCGGCATCAGTCCGGACTAGTACAAGCAGCCACACAAACACACACACGTGCATGCACGTCGCTATATAAGTGCAATAATCTTGGACGCGACGTTAAACCACATTTCACCTCACCTTTGGTGAGCATTACGAACATATTTACTTAAGAAATGAACGTCAGTTTGGATGGGTTCATTGAAGTGTGAACGATTTAAAAGCGCTGGTTAAACTGTGTGAACCTCCGAGCTTGCGACTGACGTTCAATTCTTATGATTTCATACTTTGTAGTTTACTGTTCTCGCCGAATAATATCGTAACAATGTTTGCTTAAATTTTAAGTCCTCGGATTTTGCCGAAGAACATTGCAACAATGTTATTTTGTCGGTATTTGCCGGTTCTCGGTCACATTCTTTTCCCCGCCCATACTCAGTTACGCAAAGAAAAATAGTTCTTTGAATATATACAACATAATCTAGAAATATGTCAACATAATTTGATTCTCTGAACAAATTAACAAACAATATTTGGGATAAATCAAATCTTAAAAATAGGTTACAGGAAAGTGATCAAAACTATAAACATGTCCTCGACGCACCGAGGCGAGGTCAACCTTCAAGCGCGGATTTATATATAACGTCACATAAGTTTGTAAAGAGGTGCATTTCGAGACGAGCGGGAGTATGAGGATGAAATTTATACTTACTGTTGTTGAAAATGACGTTTATGAAGCAGTTATGGCAAACACCCCGACGCGTGAACCCTCTCATGGCACCAGCAAATTGTGAATATCACCCATTTATAAATGTGTTGCTTGTGTTTGGATAATCGCAAACCAATTCGGACGATGTGGAATGGACTGGTGGGGATTGGACGGAGTGCTCTGAAACTTGTGTGTTTTGTGTATTAGTTTTCAACGTCAGGGTGTGTTACATTTGGAGTTTTGGATTTGTCGTGTGTGCTGTAATACCTTGCTTAGCTGGTGTTTCTTGTCACCTGAGATGGACCTACTATATGTCCTGATGCCAGCTTCATTTCTGTGCCCCGTCATTCCTCATGTGCCGGCGCTTCTCGGCCTAGAATGCACGGAGTAGGTCGGCCAACTCAGAAACCGGAATAGTAATTCCAACTGCGGATATTTTCTCGTCTCCGATGACCAATCGGTAAAACAGGTAGGTAAATCTGTTTTTTGTTTTTTAAATTTTAAGTTTCTTTCCTTACCTTTTTTATGTTTTATGGTTTCTCAAAATCTTAGATTTTTTACCCGATACGATAGTGAATCGGGTTTTACTTTGAGATTGATCAGGAGCAGTCGCTTTGATCTATGTCAGCGGCCAAATCTGAGCAGGGTACAACATTGATTTCATTGGTGCTAGAATCCTGTCATTTCCGAAAACAAGGCATCAAAGTAAATATCGCTCAAGAAATCAATTTCGTTCACCTTAGTAATTTTAAAGGATAAGCTTCCAATCCCTTTACTGAAAATTAATTTTGTGCCACCTTAAATTTTCCAAAACCGGAAATTATTGTACCTAGGTAATTTAATGTGTCAACTGTTTCCAGCTGTTGACCACCCAGTATTCTTCACGCCTTATTTTACCCTCTTTGCGAAAAAACATTGCTTTAGTTATCGTTACATTAACTTGAAGGCCCAATCAAGACAATACTCACATAAACAATCAATTAATGATTGTAGCCCGTGTGGAGAATGTCAGTAATATCATATCATCTGCAATTATTATAAAAATATATAATCCATAAACAATCCACTGTTTACGTTTTCTTGTACTTTAGATCTTAATCCTCAATGAATATTGAAATAAGTACCGGTGACATAACTTCACCTTTTTTGATACCCATACCAATTAAAAAACAATAATCTGTTACGCAATCATAATGCTTTACACACGATTTTACAACATCATACATAGTTTGTATTACGTTCCACATTCTACCACGCAGTCCTTGTCTAAACACTTAATGCAAAACATGCTGCTTCTATAGATACTGTCAAAAGCTTTAGTGAGGTCAACAAATAGAGAATCTCACCCTCGTGTCTTTTGATATCAAATATACCAACACGAGTTGATAAAAGTGGTAAAATTCCGAGGCTTGCCGAGGATTTTTGCCACTTTTATCAACGAGTGTTGATATATTTGATATCAAAAGACACGAGGGTGAGATTTTATTTATTATCCAACATCATTCTTCCAACTTTTTCAATTAGTAGACAGTAGTTAGCAGTGTCTTCAGTGTAAAAAGTACTGCAAACAGATTCAGTAGTAGAGCCATTAGTGATGTCATGTAGATATCTCTTGATCTAATCCAAGCGATATCTCCTGTGGGAGCTAGTTTTTAATGATAAATGTACAATATAGCCTTTTTTTCGCACATATTTGTTACACAATTGCAAATAAATATTGCAAAAATGGTTTAAAAGCAGTGCTTGAAACCATACTGGACATCAGATGTAATATTGTACTTTTCGGCCGATTCAGCAGGCCTATTTGTAAGTACAGATATAAAGAGCTGGAAAAGCAACTGTTCAATGTTACCCCTCTGTAATAATTAACGTCTTTTAGATCTCCTTTCTTATGAATTGGGACAATAATTCCTCCAGTCCATGCTCTCTGGAACACACGAAGTGTGAATATTTTATTCAACAATATTGTTATGTTCGGCACATTTGAAACATTCTTTAAGGACACAACATTGGTGATATTTAAAACCAGAAATACTGAACGGCGGTCTCTCCACACATATGTCAATCAAAGGCTCGGGTTGTTACCGTGTGTGTGTGTGTGTGTGTGTGTGTGTGTGTGTGTGTGTGTGTGTGTGGTTGGGGGGGGGGGGGGGGGTGCATAATTAACAGTGTATTGAGTTTCAAATGATCTTTCACGTCATCTTTATCCATTGATCTGAATTTCAGTATACCATGTATTTTTCCTGTTCTGAAAATCGACCTTTCCCATGATTATAACAAGCTTTAATGCTGCAATGCCACACGCAAACATTTTGTTTAAACTATAGTGGTCCTGTTGTATGGCGAGCACAGAGAATTTATGCGCTTTTCATGTCATTACGGTTTATGAGAAACGAGTTCATATAATTTAATACAGAGCAAACGTGTGATACTGATTTCATTATTGTGCATTGCTGCATCGTTGACGTTATGCAAGAACAAATTGTTGACTCATTAGAGAGAGCATTGTAATCGTCATATTTAATGGCGGCACACGTATGATCACGTCCGTTCTTTTATTGTCGTTGTGGTGACCTATTTACTTCAGCATGTCTCCACTACAGCCATTATAGCGTGTTATCAAACAATACCCGAGAAGACCAGGCTTAGAACAGGTCTCCAGCAACCCATGCCTGTCGCAAGAGGCGACTGTTGGGATCGGGTGGACAGTCTCGCAGACCTGGTTGATGCATGTCATCGTATCCCAATAGCGTGGATCGATGCTCATGACCCCAATCAGAGGGCTTTCTTGTTCAGACTCGATTATGTACAGACCGCCGTCTTATAGCTGGAATATTGCTGAGTGCGGCGTTAAACAAACAAGCATAAACAAACAAACAATGTGAAATAGAATAAATAAGTGTGTGTGGCGGGAAGCTGTGTATAGCATGCTGATTTACTGAACTAAAAAGGAAATTCACGTATTTCGGGATTTCGTTCGGGAAATAAAAACACACTGACAGAGAAAACTATCGTAAAAGGTTTTAAAGCCCTGAATAACTTTATATATAACAGATACTAGATACGTTTTATTACAAAATGAAGCATCATCTACACTGATGACTGTGTCCTGGAAACAGACATTTTGCCTTTCACTTTCTAAAACCAGCTTTGCAGATTCATTTAATTATTCCCTTTTTATTTTAAAAAATGTGATTTAGGGCCAACACACCTTCCCAATCTTCCGTGGACACCATAAATCAGGCTTACAGTCAAAGTACTGACTGTTCAGGAAGATCTAATGAAGACTCAATCATCTTTGGGTATGAGATTTAAGTCATGATAATTAAATGGCGCCCTTCGTAGCGAGGGTTGTCTTGCAACCCACTGACACTATGAACTATTTGCTTATGCTAACCGTCCCTTGAAGACATGTTGTGATCCTGTGAGGTCGATCATGTTAAACATCTCTCCCGTGGGGGAAATACGCTGTCGCTCGACGAGGGCCTAATTTGGTAGATGGCTTTACAAAATAGATAAGTTGGCGCTACCAAATTTATTTATTTTCTAACCCACTTGTCAAATTACTACAAGCCACTTACACAGACGTAGCTGAATGTTTATGCATGAGAGAACCCATGGGAATACATTGCAGACTGCCTCAGTAACGGAGTTTACTCATGCATCTATCTAACGGAGTTCACACATAATAGATCAACCGGAGCTTACACATGTATAGATCTTACTTGTTTACACATGCAGCTATAACGGAGTTCACACATAATAGATTTCACGGAGCTCACACATGTATAGATCGTACTGGTTTAAACATGCAGTTATCTAACGGAGTTCACACATAATAGATCTAACGGAGCTTACACATGTATAGATCGTACTGGTTTACACATGCAGTTATCTAACGGAGTTCACACATAATAGATCTAACGGAGCTTACACATGTATAGATCTTACTGGTTTACACATGTACAGGTCTGACAGAGATTCTCTGACACATACAGGTTTTGAGCCATCCAGGCGGTAAGCTATTACCAACCTTCAAATAAAAAGACTTGGTAAATGTATCGTCACTAATCATCCAATTATGGGGGTGCAATGCTAATAGCATCCCCATAATGTCATTACCGTGAAACAGTACCGCAAGCTGCGTTGATGTGGAGAGATACATACCAAGTTAATGAAGCATTTGAGGAGGAAGGAGTCAGTTGGATAAAAACTAACCGGATTTCACGATTACAAGTCGTGATGAGTCAATTAGGAGAAGGGGAATATTACTAGTGTTGGGAATATAAATCACATGTGTCATTTGGAAACGCATTAAGAGGTGATGTAGTGTGTATATTCTGCTTATCGTCTGATGGGGGTAATGAGATAATTAAACCTATATACATGAGAAAATTTGTCCTACGTACCACTATATGAGACAATACGTCCAATATACATGAGACACT